GTTCCGGCCAGGAGAGGGGGGGGGGGCAGAGGATCGAAAGTCCGAGGAGGTTTTTTTGCCCTCCTCCTCATCCTTTCCCTCCTCCCATTCCTCCTCCTCCTCTTCCTCCTCCTCCTCCTCCTCCTCCTCTTCCTCCTCCTCCTGCTCCTCCTCCTCCGCCGTTTTCGGGCTCCAGGACAGGCAAAAAAGGACCCCGGGGTGAAACGCTTCACCAGACGGACTCCAGGAGGGGCCTGGGGACCTATCTCGAGCGCATTTGGCTGCTCCCCCCCCTCTTGACTGCTGTTCTCGGGGCCCTGCCAGCTCAGACCCCCCACAGGCCGCCTCCGACCCGCCCCCCGCTGTCGGCGATGTTCTCCTCGCGCGCGGCCCTCGCGCCCAGGTCCGGAGGGTTCCAAAGGGGGTTTTTGGGGAGGGGGTTTTCCAGGAGGGGTCCCCCAGGGGCTTTGCACCCCCTGCTTTGACGAGGTTCCGAGGCCCCCGGGGGGCTCTCTGGAAAACCCCCTCCCCAGAAACCTCCTTTGGAACCCTCTGGCAGGTGGCTGTACCGCGGCGCGAAGTCGGCCGCGCGCAGCCGCTCCGAGTCCACGGTGGGCAACGTGGCCGACGTGGTGAGCGGGATCCTGGGGGACGTGAGGCAGGGCGGCAACGCTGCGCTCGACAAGTACTGCACCAAGTTCGACCGGGTGCCGCACAAGCGCCTGGCCGAGGCCGACGTGGAGGAGTGCCTCCGGATGTGCACCGCGCAGGAGCTTCTCGACATCAAGTACGCGCAGGCCAACATCGCTCGATTCGCCAAGATCCAGCGCGACTCGATGAAGGACGTGGAGGTGGAGACCCAGCCCGGCGTCATCCTCGGGCACAAGCACATCCCCATCAAGAACGTCGGCTGCTACGTGCCCGGGGGCAAGTTCCCCATGATCGCCTCGGCGCACATGTCCGTGCTCACGGCCAAGACGGCGGGCTGCGACCGCGTGATCGCCTGCACGGCGCCCATGCCCGGCGGAGAGCCCGGCCGCATGCCGCACACCACCATCGCGGCCATGCACCACGCGGGCGCGGACGAGATCTACCTCATGGGCGGTGCGCAGGCCATCGGCGCCATGGCCTTCGGTACTGAGACCATCCAGCCCGTCGACTTCATCGCAGGGCCCGGCAACGCCTTCGTCGCGGAGGCGAAGAAGCAGGTCTTCGGCAGGGTCGGCATCGACCTGATCGCAGGCCCCACCGAGACGCTGCTGCTGTGCGACGACTCCGTGGACGCCGAGATCACAGCTGCCGACCTCCTGGGCCAGGCCGAGCACGGCTACAACACCCCCGCGATCCTCGTCACGACGTCCGAAAAGCTCGCGCAGGAGACGATTGCCAGGGTCGATGCGGAGCTGGAGCGCATTCCCACCGCAGATACGGCCGGCGTGTCGTGGAAGGACTACGGAGAGGTCATCGTGGTTGACGACGACAAAGAGATGCTGGAGGTCGCCGAGGAGATCGCTGGGGAGCACGTGCAGGTTATGCACAGGGATTGGGCCTTCTTCAAGCACAATCTCAGGAACTTCGGCGGGCTCTTCCTTGGCGTAGAGACCAATGTCGCCTACGGCGATAAGGTCATAGGCACCAACCACACGCTGCCGACACAGACTGCCGGCAGGTACACGGGCGGCCTTTGGGTCGGCAAGTTCATCTCGGCGGCGCGCCCAGGGGGCAGGCAGAGGGGGCCGGCCTTCTCAGAAGGTGGCGGGGCGCGCCTTCCTTCCGAGAGGCCCTCAGCGGCTTCGAGGAAGGCTCAGAAGGCGCCTCGGAGGGCGCGAGGGCTTCGGAGAGGCCCCGCCGCCTTCGTCAGAAGGCCGCCCCCTCTGCCTCCCCCCCTCCTCGGCGCGCCGCCGCTCCTCAAGACCCACACCTACCAGCACATCTCCAGGGAGGCCTCGGTGGAGATTGGGGACTACTGCTCCCGCCTCTGCGGCTACGAGAACTTCGCGGGGCACAAGGTCGGGGGACGCCAATCACACCCCGACGCCGACGCTGGGCAAGCTGGCCTGCCTGGCCAAACCAGGAGGGCGTATCTATACGTATGTATGCATGTACGTATGCATGCATGTACGTATGCACGCATGCACGCATGCACGCATGTACGTACGAATGTATGTATGCATGCATGCATGCATACATGTATGTATGTATGTATGTATGGATGCATGCATGTATGTATGTATGTATGTATATATATATATATATGCATGTATGTATGTAGGTATGTATAGTTGCATGCATGTGTATATGCATGCATGTGTGTGTATGCATGTGTGTCTGTCCGTATGCATGCATGCATGCAACTACAGATGTATGTATGCATATATGTATGGCTGTATGCATGTATGTATGTATATCTCGATGTATGCATGCATGCATGCGTGTATATATATATATATACATATATATATATATATATGTATGCAGGCATGCACGCATGCATGCATGCATGTATGTGTATGTATGTATG